TGTGCGCGTGCAGGGGCGCGCCTATGATACACTCCTGAGTGAGTGCTCCCAGAAAGAAACACATCTGAGAAGAAGCATGTGCACCGCATAGTCAGAGCGAGGGGGCCGAATCATTGCCATGGGGTACGTGGCAGAAATGGCATTCCGTCTAGCGGATTTTGCCTTTGCTGAATTCTCATTTGTATTGTTGTCCCCCCCGGTGCGCCTTCTGTTTTTTTATTGAAGTGTTCCGCCTGGGGCTCAACCCTTCTTTTTAACCAGGCGAAGTCTTGCGGCTCAGATTAAGTTGTTGGTCCCCCGGACTACAACAACGACGGCTCCTGCTTGATATTGATACATCCTCACGATTTATTTCAAAATAGCGCGCTCGCGCGGGACTTCTTCGTAATTTATCCAGGAATCGCGCTCTCGCGTGGTGCTTCTCGTAATTTATTTAAACGCCGCGCCCTCGACGCTCAGGAATCGCGCTCTCGCTTTGGATTGCCTGACGATTTCCCTGCGAATCGCGCTATCGCTCAAAACTTCCTTGTACTTCATGTTGGATTTACGCTTCAGCGACCTGCCCGCTCGACCCAGCCGTCTGGGCCCGCCCGCCCGACCTGCCCGTTAGGGTTCGCTCGCCCCGCCCGCTCGTTTGGTTTTTCCGCTTATACTGCTCCTAACCCCCCTCCTGCAAATCTCTCTCGTGCTCCATCTTTCTCCCTCCCCCTTGCCTCTTGCCTCCTCCCTTCCTCCTCCTGCGCTACGGTTGTGCCAACTACACGTGGCAGGTAAAGAAGATATGCCCCCAAGGGGGGTACGATCGAAGACGAGAAGGGCAGGTATCGAGGTTTTGGGGTATAAAATGTTAAATGACACGCGGGACAGTCAGAACGAACAGTCTTAAACTGATCGTTGTTATTATCGTCGTCCTCGCCCGCCACCCGCCCGCGACCCACGAGCGACCCACCCCGCTACCCCCCCCGCGACCCACCCGTGACTCACCCGCGACCCACCAACGACCCATCCCGCGCCCGCCCCCTCACTCTTGTCCGCAATTGTGGTGTGCTACGTTTTTTGTTTGTTGTCTGACAGGGGCTGGCGGGGGTGTCGATACCGGGTCTGTCTGGCATGCCACATGCCACGGTATTTAGGAAGAGCGGTCGTGCATCATAATTATTTGAGCATCGAGTGCGCAAGGGTACGGATCATTCTGGTGTGTGGGGAGAGTGGAATCTCATTTTTCAGGCGAAGTAGCATTTGTGGTGTAAGCTATGTGGTGCAAGTAATGTGCTGAACTTGAAGTTGTCTTCTCCACTGCTCGCGCAAACATCCCACCCACCCACCCGCAACTTGGTTTGCAAAACCAGTGCCTGAGCGATTGCGATGAGTGCTGGGTGTTGGCTGGTGCATCTCTGCGGCCGCACTAGCCCGCGCGTGCTTGCGCGCGCAGCGGCCAGCTAGTTTGGCGCGACCGACGCGAACGCGGTGGCGCTGACCGTTCGACACATCCCAGCGGGCACTTCAGTGCGAGTCGGCGACTTGGGCGGGCGCGGTATCATGGCAACGTCGACAACGGTAGACGCGATGATGATAGTAGCGGTGCTGGTGACGATGCTGACAGCGGCGACGGGGCAGCCAGTGATGGCGCCGATGCTGATTACGCCGACGACGATGACGGCGTCTTCGCGTCGGTGATGAAGGTTTTTGGAAGGAATTCGAAATGCGCGCGCGGCAGACGCGCGAGAGTGGCTCGCATGGTTTTATTTTACACGAATCCTGCCTCCTCAGCACGCGCGCAAAGGCGTTCGAAAAATTCCGACATGCGCGCGCGAAGCCCGTTTAGTGGTATTTTACGAAACATTTTAAACAACTTATGGTTTTCTCAAGAATTCGCAAGAGCGCGCGCGCGCTTTTGTTGAACACCCGTGTCGCGAGTTTTTTGTTATACACCGTTTTTTTGACACACGATTTTGAAACACTTCCAGAACCGAGGGTTTTTGAAGGATTCCGGCATGCGTGTGCGACGACGCGCGCGTGTGCATGTCGTCCCATTTTTGGCAAACGGTTTCTTAATTTAAGATTTTTTTGATGAGCGAATGTGCGCGCATAGTATTTGTTGTAGAGGATGATGGGGGGGCGATACGTGCGTGGCTGGGATGGTTTGACTTCACAGTTCGGATGGACGAAAGGGCAGAATCATATGTACATTGCAGTACGAAAAAAGTGGGTCGATAAGTCCTGGGGGGAGGGTGTAGAACCTATTTAATTTTTAGAAAAGGAGAATCTATGTGGTACACATTGCGGGGTGTAATCTACGAAGGGCTGTGGGGTACAGTATCTTCGTAAACTCGAATGGTCGTCGTCAACTCTAATGTTCGAGCAAACATACCACCCACGCCCTCAAGTTGTTGCTAAAACTCAGCTGGAGTGATGACGCGAGGAGTCCCCATCCAGATCCATTGTTCTGGTGTGCGAGTGATGATGATGATGGTGGCGCTGACGACGAGGACGACGACAACAACGATGATGATGACCATCATGGTGTTGGCGACGACGGTGGGGATGATGATGACGGCGATGGTGATGGTGATGCAGATGGTCGGTATGACGGTGGCAATGGTGACGCTGGCGATGATGATAACGGTTGCGCGGACGGCGATGGAGTGCACGCCCGCAGAAATTCAGAAACCTTGCCGTTTTCGTTGTTTGAAGCAGGTATGGTCCAAGTGTTTTTGAGCACCTCTGTGTTTGAAATGCTTAACCAAAAACCATTCGGAAGATTTCGACATGCGCGTGCGGAGGCGCGCGTGTGACTGACAGAGGCGGCGGGTGCGCGGTGATGGTTGAATATTATCGACTTGTGCGCACGCGTGCGGCCTCTTCCATGGTTTCGTTCAAACAGGATGGCCACCTACCTTTGGTGCCCTGGGCCACATAGATTGCACCACATGGGTTGCACTTCCTAGCTCGCACCACATTGATTTCACCTCCCAGATTGCAGCATACATCGCAATAAATCATTGTTCGGGATCCCTGCTGGCTAGACGTGTGAGTATGTTCTAACAGAGCGCACTTGCTACATCGAAGAGTGTGCGCCGCATGGTCTATGTCTGACAGGGATGAGGGGGGAACCGACAACGCGTCGGCTGGCAGTGTATTGTGTGATATTTGGAAGGGGCGGTAGTGAACCGCGAAACTGGAAGCGCAGTACGCGGAGGGAAGCGGACAAGTCCGGCGAGGACCGTGTGCAATTTTACACACGCGAGCCAGCGCCCGTGAGGCGCCCGTGAGGCGCCCATGGCCAGGCACCAGCCGAATGCCGAATCCCTGCCAGCACGAGGGGCGCCCACGAGGCGCCCACGAACGAGCACCAGGCGAGAGCCTCGAAGTCCTGTCCAACTGCGTCAGGCGGCAGGTGAGATGAGAGCCCCTGTGTGCAAGCTTTTGCTGTTTCGGGAGACACTCACGGGGCCGTGTCGAACAAGGAGCGCCTGCTGGGCTCGACGCATCGGGGTTCTTATGTGTTGCCTCGCAAGACGCGCAGGGAACAACAAGTCGCCACACCAACCGTTGCAAGCGCGGCCGCGGCGGCGGGGCGGTCTGCGCTGGTCAGGCAGGGCAATTCAGACCAGGACCCCGTGGGCGCCTCGACGCGCCTCGGTGACTTTCCTCCTCGATGCTTCCTCGCCTCCACAACGCTCTGGTAGAAGTTTCAGTGCCGCACAGGGTCCCGACCCCCCCCCTCCCCGGAGGTCCCCCGATGTCTCTGGGCGGCCCCCAGAGAGACTCCAGGCCTCCCAAATGGAGCTCGAGTGGATGGGGTCGGAGGATCGCGCTGCATCGCCGACGCATCAGCTATGCGGCTCGATGCGGAGCCCGATTTGCGCCGCGGTGATGCGTCGCGTTCCTCCGACGCCCGACCCTGTCTGTTTGGGAGGCCTCCAGAGCCGCGGAGCCTCCCGGAGGCCCCAGACTGCCGAAGGCCGTCGGATGCGCAGCAGAGAGCGTCCTGAACTGGGGTGGTCCAATCGCTAGTTTTTCCCTCTGGGAGTCTGCTTCGCTTCCTACTCCTTTCCCCCTCCCTTATTCTCTAGGCCTCCCAGATGGGGTCCGAGCAGATGGGGTCGGAGAATCGCGCCGCATCGCCGATGCACTGGCGATGCGGCTTGATGTGGAGCCCGATTTTCTCCACGCCGATGCATGGCCGATGTATCGTCGATGCGTCGCGATCCTCCGACCCCATCTACTCGGACTCCATCTGGGAGACCTCTACTCCCTGCTTCTCCATGGCGGTTGCTTCGCATGGCGGAGCCCCCTTTCCTTCAGGGGGAGAGTTGGCACATTTCATCGTCCCTGCATCGATTTCATCGCAAAAGGCAGAGAGCGTCCCCAACTCCCCTCCCTCGATCGGGGGGGCAAAACTCGGCACGTTTTCTCTCGCTTCGTTCGAGGTGGTGCGCCGCAGCCCTGCACGCCAAGGCGCGTGCTCGCTGCGTCCGGATGCCCGCGGCGCTTGCGCGCTGTCGGCTGCATAATCTTGGTGCGGATCGGTGCGCCACTTTTGTCATGGCGCCTGGGCGCTATCAGCGAAAAGGTATGTGACTGGCCAAAAAATATTGGTGACTCGAAATGTGTCCAAAATTGTGAGCGCAAGCGTAGCGTCGACCAAAGCTGCGACCGAAACTGAAACCCGCCTTGGTCTCGGATCAAGAATTTCGGTCACATTCTGGCGCGTTCGGGAAATTTCGGGCGTCGGCTTCGGTCACACTCGGGCAGATATTCGGGCACAGTTTCGGCCACTACACCCCCTTGATACAGTCGGGCCGAGGCATAAGACCGAGGCCAGTCCGGGGAGGGTGCCGTGGTACTGTGTGTGTTTTGGTCGGCGGAGGGTCTCGTGGTCTTGAAGGATGCTCTTCTGGCCCAGGTCCGACTCTGTACGACCCCCTGACAGAGACGAGGCGGCGTGACCTTTGCTCGGCCACTACCGCGGGGCCTCGCTCCGCCCCCTCCCGCAGGGCCAGCGCAACGTTGCCCAGGGCGGCGCCGCGTCGGGCAAGGTGCGCGAGGGTGCCAGCTGTGACTACGCCAAGGAGCACCGCCCGCGGCCGGTCATTGTCCTCGTCCTCCTCCTCGTCCTCCTCGTCCTCCTCCTCCTCCTCTTGCTCCTGCTTCGCGTTCTCCTCGTCCTCCTCCTCGTCCTCCTCGTCGTCGTCGTCCTCCTCCTCCTCCTCGTCCTCCTCCTCGTCCTCGTCCTCGTCCTCGTCCTCGTCCTCGTCCTCGTCCTCGTCCTCGTCCTCGTCCTCGTCCTCCTCGTCCTCTTCGTCGTCCTCCTCCTCCTCCTCTTCCTCCTCTTCCTCCTCCTCCTCCTCCTTCTCTTCCTCCTCCTCCTACTCCTCCTCCTCCTCCTCCTCCTACTCCTCCTACTCCTCCTCTCCCGCTCCCCGCTCCCCCGTGCCCCTCTCCGTCCCTTTTTCCCTCCTCCGGGTGCTGTCGCTGGCCGATGGGGGGGCGGGTCCCTGGTCGGGGAGGCAGCGCCAAGGGAGACGGGCGTCGACGAATCGGGCCGTGAGCCAGAACGGTGAGGGTGAGGAGGGTCGGTATGCAGGGGAGGTCATTCAGGGGAGTCCAGGAGGGGGGTGAAAGCTGTGTGTGTGTGTGTGTGTTGATATTGCGGCCAGGGCCAGGACATCTCCCAGGTTTCATGGCCCTCCCTCTATTTTTTTTTCTTATTCTTCTTTTTCTCTCAACACGTCCTTTCGTCGGCGAATATGCCTCGGGCCATGATGCGCTACTCCCGCTCTTCCTGGCCCCCCTCTTCGGCACACTGGGTCACAAAGACGTTGACTGAGATGTTCAAGCGCATGTTATGCGGAGCCATATCCAAGTCGGGCGGTTTACTTTGTATTAGGATGCGCTGGAAGAGAAGCCGTGGTCAAATTATGAAGGCACAGTTGGCTCTTCTGCATGATATCAAGCATTCGTTATTCATCTTTCTCCTATTCCTGCCTTTCTCCTTATGCTCCTTGTCACCCACCACCTGCAGCATCTCTGGGGGTCAGTCGGCTCCGAAACATGTTATGGACCTGTTGCTACCCAACGCTTTCAAGCTTGATTCTGGATGTTCTGGGCGTTGGGGTTCTTTTCCTCGATTCTCAGGTGCCACTGAGCAAGTATCGCAGTCTTTCTGGCTCAGGAGTCGTGTGTGACACAGATTTCTCTGTCTAGTCTAGTCAGACAGTCTAAGGTTGTAGTTCCGTAGCGATGATATGGGTATTCACATATCTGCTTTGAAGAAGGATTGGCAGCGCTATACTGTTTTGGAAGCACTTCGACTCGTGTTTCCAATTCAGTGCTCGATTGCATAATCAAGGACAGTCTGCCTCTGAGACGAGGCGCGTCAGGGCCTGCTTTCATAGACGTCTTGAACTACTTTCGAGACCGAGCTGCGTGGATGCCCCAACCAAATTCAGACGTGGGTTGTATGCAAATTGAAGCAGGATATTTTCAGCTTTTGCCAGACATGGAACCGCTGGGGTCAGCACGGGACAGCACATTCCAGCATGTCTGTGCCCAGTGTCGAACTGTTTTCCAAGCCTGTGGACACTCATTCACTGGCTAGTGCCAAGCATACTCGCAGTATCATGGAACTAGATATGGGCCGACTGGTCACGACAGCCCCTTGCCCCTTCGTAACGATGGCCGCAGAACGGTGAGTTGTGTTGTGCGGAACAAGAAGGACTTATCACACGTCGGATATTGCCGATTGGAACAGCATCTTGGCACAGTGTGGAAATGCTGCCAAAGAGCGTTTCATTCCATGGTGCAAGCGTCTGGCTCGCGCTGGAGTAGTGTTCCGAGAGGGCCTCCTTGAAAGCAGAGTGCATACTAACAGCTTCGGTCTCTGCCTTTGGCCCCCCATCTGACCGATTCGTGGTTTGGTGACAGTTTGTTCGGAAACACTGGACGGGCTTCTTGTGATCATCTTAAGTTTTTGCCTCTGGCAATCTTGCGCCACGCAGGGGCATCCTGAGAGGACGGGGGATGAGGCAATCTTGGGTGCTACTTCGGCGCAGTGCTTGCGTCCTCTTGTGGCCTTGTCAGGGCATCTTGGGACATCGTGAGGGCCCCAGGGGCCTGCGATGCCCGGAGAATTTTGGGAGGCCCTGAAGGCTCAGACGGGCACTGGGAGGCTCGGGGAGGTCCTTGGATGCCTGGGGGGCATTGGGAGGCTCTGGGAAGCTGTGGGAAGCCTCGGTCGGTGGTTTGAGGCCTCTTGGGACTTATGGGGTGCTCTGGGAGGCCCCGTCAGACATGGAGAGGCTCTGGGACGCGTTTGGAGGCTCTGGAAGACCCGGTGTGGCGCTGGGGGGCTCTGGAAGTCCTGGGGGACCTTCGGAAGCTTTGGGAAGCTTTCGGAGGCCCTGGAACACTTCAGGAAGCCCTGGTTGGCTCCTAAGGGGCCTGGATGACTCTGGCAGGCTCTAGACGGCCTTGGGAAGCCCTGGGAGAAAAGCTCCAACAGGCCCCCAAGAGTAATTAAGAGTACTTGCCTCAAGATGGTACCAAGAGCCCACCAGGGTGGTCCAAATAGACCTTCTGAGAGCTTACAGGCAGCCTACGAGAGGTCACCAAAGGTTCACAATGATCCAATACTGCCCAGCATGCCCCTAGAGGGTTAATGCCAATACTGACGTCTGCAACAACGCTTCATGTTGTGCCCGACATACGTTACCTGAAGGGCTCTGAAGAAGAGTCTACAGCGCGCGAAGAGGCCACCAAAGCGGCCCAGGAAAGCTCCAGGAGGTCTTAAACATTGACTGGTCAAGAGGCCTCTAAGACGACTCAAGAGGCCCTACGAGGTCCCAGGAGGGTCATAAGAGATCCCCAGTGAGACTGCACGAGGCCCACAGGGATTCACCAGACAAGTCAACTCATGCCAACGTCTGTGTTTGACAATGCTTTTTCCTCAACCAGTGCTGACATTTAGGGGTTCGTACTTCTGTCACTGAGGAATTGGATGGGTCCGCTCAGGTTTCACCGCGTCGCCGCCTGGTGGTCGCCTCGTGGCCGCCTCGTTGCCGCCCACATGGGAGGCGCCCAGGTTTCGCCGCGTCGCCGCCCGTGGCCGCCTCATGGCCGCCTCGTGGCCGCCCTCTTGGGGGGTCCGCCGAGGTTGCGCCACGTCGCCGCCCTTGGCCGCCTCGTTGCCACCTCGTGGCCGCGCCTTCGGGGGGGTCAGCTGAGGTTTCGCCGCGTCGCCCCCAGTGGCCTCGTCGCCGCCTCGTGGCCGCCTCGTGGCCGCCTCGTGGCCGCCCCGTTGAACCCACTTCTTGCTTGAGTCCCCCGAGGTTTCGCCGCGTCGCCGCCCGCGGCCGCCTCATTGCCGTGGGGGGTCCGCGGAGGTTTCGCCACGTTGCCGCCCATTGTCGCCCGTTGCCGCGCCATTGTGGGGTTCGCCGAGGTTTCGCAACGTTGTCGCCCGTTGCCGCCTCGTTACCGTTGCGGGAGTCCGCCGAGGTTTCGCCACGTTGTCGTCCAGTGCCGCCTCGTTGCCGCTGGTGGGTCCGCCGAGGTTTCGCCACGTTGTGGTCCATTGCCGCCCTGTTGCCGTTGGGAGAGTCCGCCGAGGTTTCGCCACGTTGCCGTCCGTTGCCGCCTCGTCGCAGCTGGGGGGTCCGCCGAGGGCTTGCCACGTTGCCGGCCGTTGCCGCCTCGTTGCCGTTTGAGGGTCTGCGGAGATTTTTACCACGTTGCTGCCCGTTGCCGCCTCGTTGCCGCTGGTGGGTCCGCCGAGGTTTCGCCACGTTGCTGGCCGTTGCCTCCTCGTGGCTGCTAGGGGGTTCGCCGAGGTTTCGCCATGTTGCCGTACGTTGCCACCTCGTTGCAGGTGGGGGAGTCCGCCGATGTTTCGCATCTTTGCCGCCCGTCGCAGCCTCGTTGCCGCCCACCGCGCCTGGGGGTTCTGCCGAGGTTTCGCCACGTTGCCGCCCGTTGCCGCTGTTTGCTAAAATGCGCCACCTAGATTGCGCCACGTAGCCTACACCAGACAATTTACACCGCATGGATCACCCCTCATAGATCACACTAAATACCTTACACATCCACTGTGCAATAGCTTACTGTTTGGGGTCCACGCTGGCTAATATTGATTTCTAGGCTTGTCTGCTTAATATGGGGTCGGGGGCGCTTAACAATATTTCAACACAGCCCAAAATCACCCGAAGGTCCCAAACAGCCTAAGAGGGCGCCAAGAGGGCTGCAAGATAGTCCAAGATTGCCTCCAGAGCAGGCCTAAGCGGCCGGAGGTAGCTCCAAGGCAGTTCAACTCTCGGCGCCACACTGGCCTTCGAGAGCTCCCAAAGGGCCCGAACACCGCAAGAGCGCCTTCATACAGCCTCAGAAGGCTTCACAACGGTTCAGAGAGTTTCAAGACCACACCACATACCCCAGAGGGCTGGGAGAAGCGCACGAGAAAACCCAGGAGGCGCGAAGACAGGCCCAACCAGTGGCACTTCGCAGCAAGCAGCTGCACGCATCAGTGCTCATTAGTACGTAGCAGCAAGCAGCAACAACACGTCTGCAGTTGCGCTTCTTGTCGTGCCCAGAATGGGCTTTTCGGTGGATCATAGCTTTGAGAGTGGTAGTTTTATTCAGGATCGTGGGCCCAGGAGCGTAGACCCATCGCAATATTTTTAGTGTCCCGTGGGCACCCAGAGGCTAAGGAAACGCATTATGATTATTGTAAACTCATGCTTCGAGGTCCCAGAGGCCCAGTGAAACGGTCCGGCGACGGTGAGATATTCTTTGGGCCCTGGGGGGATCGCGCGCGTCTCTAGCATTTGCAGAAGGTCAGTTCAGAGGTTCTGACGTTTTGAACTTCCGAAGACACGTGCAATGGCAACCCTTCTGGCTACGGTGTTAAGTTGCTAACTTGTTGCTGTGGCAGTTATCTTCGCCAGGCAGCTTGGCGACTCCCTTACGAGGGGAGTATATTTGCAGCGTAGTTGCGCGTGAGCTTGACTTGGGCAAAGGCGCGGGACGACGATCCATCACCATCATCATCACCATCATCATCATCATCATCACCATC